AACTTTGAATTAAAATTTTAGTTTTTAAATGTAAGTTTAAATTTTATTTTGTTTTTTTAAGTGGGACTAATACATACTAACCCAATATATTTATTTATTTATGCATGGTTAGTTTTTTTTTTTTTTTTTTTTCTCATGTATTAATTTCACTATCTAAAGAGCTTAGAGTTTCTCAATGAATATATGTATAGGAAGACAAGTGATGGAAATGATGAGCCTAGATGGCGGTTGTGGACGTTTCCAGTGGTGGTGGATGGACCCTTGGGGGTTGTTTCAGCCGCAGAGGTAATCGGGATCATGATGTTTATTGCGTATCTCATTTGGTCTGCCATCCTTTTTACCTACCGCAACCTTCTCGAGGTCCAGTCCAGTGGTCTTGATCTCGAACACAGGTAGTCTCTCTGCAAAACAGCAGTATGTGTGTGTATACGTACGGTAGAGTTATGATCAATTTATATTAGTATAAATGTTACATTTTTCAGTCACTCATTTTTAAATTTCACCAATTAATATAGCACTTGAATTTTACAAAATACTTTCTGAAATTTTAAAATGTGTGACTGAAAATTATTATAAAAGTTTCTTAAACTTAACTAGTGTAACTTAATCCCTACTTTATATATATATATATATATATCTATTAATTTTATCAATATATATTTGCCTGCCTATGTATGCATTTTTAGCTAACCATTCAATTGGTTCTAAATATAACAGTGCTGTAAGGATGATGGAACTTAGTTCGGCATCGGTAGCAAGAATTGGGATATTTTGCTGGGCATTTTTGTGGCTCCCAATTGCAAGGGGGTCCCTTCTCCTCCAACTTCTAGGTATACCTTTCGAGCATGCTTGCAGATATCACGTATGGCTTGGTCATCTCACAATGTTCATCTTTACTCTCCATGGACTCCTTTATATAATTGCTTGGTCAATAGATGGAGTTCTTCTTGAGCAAGTAAGTCATGCTTTTATTTCAATTAATTAATTACTTATTGCACAAAATATCATCAAATTATAGAAATGTTTATACATGTGCGCATGCAGATACGTAAGTGGCAATCCAATGGCATTGCTTATTTACCAGGCGTTATCCTTCTTGCCATTGGCCTTTTAATATGGGCAACTGCACTTCGTCCAGTGAGGAAGCAATATTTCGAGCTATTTTACTATACCCACCATCTCTACATATTGTTTGTTATCTTCTTGGCTTTGCATGCGGGGCCACTGTTTTTAAGTATAACAGCAGGAGGAATTTTCCTTTTTATGCTTGATCGCTTCCTCAGATTTTGTCAATCACGAACCAGGGTTAGAGTCATTTCGGTCACATCATTTCCCTGTAGAGTCGTCAAACTGGTGCTTTCAAAACCAAAAAGTACACATATATGTAACTTCTTTAAGTTAATTTATTTCAACTTGATACTGGAGTATATATATGTATATTTACAATTATAAGATTTTTGAAATACTACTGATGAATTTAATGCAGATCTTCGATACAGTGCCCTTAGCTGCATTTTCCTTCAAATTCGAGAGGCTTCTTTGTTGCAATGGCATCCTTTCAGTGTATCATCTAGCCCTATAGATGACCAGCAATGTTTATCAGTTCTCATTAAAGTTTACGGTGAATGGACAGCAAAATTAGTTCATAATTCTACAATAACAGCATCCGTGGAGGGTCCTTACGGCAGCCAGACACCCTACTATATATTGTATGACTACAGTAATGCTATTATTCTTACAAGAAATTCTCATAATGTTACTTGGTTGATCACCTCCCTTGTGACTGATCACCTCCCTTGTGTCTTACAGGTATGAAAAGCTTGTGCTAGTAGCTGGCGGCATTGGGATTTCACCGTTCCTTGCAGTCTTGAGCGATATCTTGCACCGCATTAGACAAGGAAAACCATGTTTGGTAAAGCATATCCTACTTGTTTGGAGTGTCAAAAAATCAAGTGAGCTTCTCCTCCTTTCCCATCAGCTCGATTTCAACTCCATCTGTCCCAATTTCTCAAGCAGGCTCAACCTCGAGATTCTTATACATGTGACACAAGAAGAAGAACCTCCACCTCCACCACTTGTATGTTGATCATTACACACACACGTGCACTCTCTAGTTTCACATTATACACATTAATCCCCATCTTGTCCTTGACTCATTATATATCAAATTAACAGGAAGAAGGTGGAACAATAGATCATAAGGACATCAGCTTCGTCTGCCCTGTATGTAGTAGTGGAAGTAGCATGTCAACTTTGACGGGCTCAGGGAACACACTATGGGTTGGACTATATGTAACATCGGCGACAGTTGGGTTTCTTATAATACATAGTTTGTTGCATGTGTTCTACATGAACCCCTATAACCTATACCAAGGATGGTACCCAGGGATCCTCCTTTTAGGTTGCCTTGCCTCCAGCGTTTTGATTTTTGGAGGTTTGGTGCTTTGTGTCTGGCATTGTTGCGGTGCTGATGATTTCATTGAAACTGTACCGAATGTGCCGAGTCAGGAATCGCAAGATACTGGCATTGTCTCCGAGATGCATTACGGTTCAAGGCCAAACGTGAAAGGTAATTATATATACATATGCTTGGCATTGTGTCTTAATTTTGCCAATATATTTTATGTATTTACGTATCAATTTTGCAATGATGCAGAAATTTTTAATAACTTGGGGCAGCAATGGGGAGAAGTAGATGTTGGCGTGATCGTCTGCGGTCCTCCAGGCCTTGATTCGGATGCTGCTAGAGAATGTAGGTCTCTTAATTTAGGCAGACAACGCCATCAACCAATCTTTCACTTCAACAGTCATACTTTCGATTTGTAGTTTCCTAATTAAAGTCAATAATTTCGAATCTTTCTCTTGTAGTTCCGTGCCCGGTTCATTTCTTGTAATTTTCAATGGAAGTCAATAAATTTTCTTATCCCTATCCTTGGATTTTTGGACTAACACATCCATTTCTAAACAAAGAAATCCATCAATTTATTTTTTTATAATACTTCTTGGATGACTATTTTTTAGAATACAAGAAATCAACTGCTTAGAGTTGTAAAAATTTTAAACTAAAATTAAAAATTTTAAATTAACGAATACTTGCTCAATGAGGCTCTTGTTGATACTTTCTAAATGAGAATAGTCTTCCCTAATCTTCTCATTGTATATACCTATCCGACTTGTATATTCAATGATGAAAAATGCAACACGGCCAATTGTCAAAACTTCCAAATTTCAGTTGCAAGCAGCTACAGTTCACTTTATTTTATTATGACGTCAGTATAAAAAAAATTGTCTTCCCCTGTTACAAGAAAATTGAAAACCAAAAAAATCCAAAAAGAGGGAAGGAAAAGAAAACAAAATTTAAGTTTACTCAACAGCAGACCGCTCTCCTAGTCTCAAGGGGAATGTTTAAAAAGAAGCCTATATAATTAACTCACCTCAACCACTGGGTTGTTTTCATCTGAAGATTTATTTCGAATAGTTAAAATTACATTCATCGGCGACCACCTGCCTTCTTGGCAGCAATTGGAGGAAGCGTTTCCTCGTCATCTGACTCCACATCTCCATACTGCCAAATTCCTCGCCTATCGGTTTTTGCTTCATTCTGGAACTTCTCTAAATTATCGAGTGCCACCTGCTTATCTTTGGGCTCCCATTTCTTCCTTTTCTCCATCCTAGCAAGTCCTTCCTGAAAAATATGCATGAGATGAAATGAGAGCAGCCAAGCTAATGAAAAACATCGCGGTGTAAGTTTAAAAAATGCAATGACATTTTCAGACCAATATGACGCTAGATGATACTAACTTCTAAAGATGTTTCATGGTAAAGAAAATAGCTGTTTGTTCAAACCTGCAACATAGCAGCGTTTACACTGATCTCTGCATCCACAGCAACAAGAGTTACGACAAGAACTGTTCCAGTTCCCTGCCCCTTGACTTTTCCTCCAGAAGTGTCCCTATCTTCTACCTTGGCCCTAAACTCATGGGAACTGCCCATAGTCTGCTCACTCAAAAATTGAGCTGCCTCAGTACCATACTCCGCTTCCAAACCTGGAACCTTTATGTATGCAAGGCTGCACAACTGAGCAAGTGCTGGTGCTGCGGATACTGAATGATCAAGAGGACGTAACTGAGTGTATAGAACCTCCTCCTGGTTCCCATAATCAATATAGAACACCTCAAATTTGTCCTTGGAGGATTCAACTCCTCGTGGTGCATTGACAATCTACACAGACAAACAGACATTCAATATAAAACATAGAAATAAGGAGCAGACTAGAGCTTTTACTTAAAATGAGAACATGTATATTTTTAAATAGTTCAAAATAAACAAGAACAAAGCATATATATTTTCAACAGGGTGCCCATATGTTGGGGAAACATAAAGATTACTGTAAGAACTTTTCTGTTGTCCTTATGTTAAATGAATGGGAGAAAAGGATCAAATATGATATAGCCAAGGAACCAAATCTTCTTCCTAGTCTCACGGGGATACATTTTCTTACATGTCAACAGGCTCCCATTCATCAAATGGGATCAATAACTACTTTTAATTCTGCACATGTCGACAGAACCCCTCTTACTAAAAGTCTAGATAGAGATACTCCCAATAATGTTTCTTTCCTAATGTTAGCTGGAGAAAAAATACTCCCAGTAATAATGTTTCTTTCCTGATCAATACTACTATTTATGGCTTGCAATCAGTTGTTCCCTAGACCCTTCTGTCACCTTCCAACATTTGGAGTAGAAAGTATGCTCTCAAATCTTATTTATAGCACTTAATACTTTGGATGTTGTGTGAAATTAAATTCTGGAAATTTTCTTTTATCAGCAAAATAAGACAATCTAGAAATTTGATTCCATGGTCCTGTTAGAATAGAAATCAAGCTGCACCTTATATAGATTTACATTTGAATGGGAATGTGATCACATTCCTCAAAGTAACAATGATTATTCTTCATAGAGGAGGTAGTGGATAGTTCCTAATGCTAACACCACCACTCCTACCCTCTTCCAAGGACCAAATACCAAAGTTCAACACTCCACCCTTCCCCCACTCTTCCCAACCCTAACAAGAACATGGCAAGAGCCAGACCCAGCTGCCAAATGCATATATTATCAGAAATTATAACTGAAAAGTTCAGTAAATATAAACATATGCAGGCAAAATAGCAAAATCAAATATAATCCAAAGTTTTGCAGTTGAAATTGAATGTGAAACTCACCATTGCTCGATTCCAAGAATTATCTACACTAAACTGAGCAAGGACAATGTCACCCTTCTTAGGATTAAAAGCACCAATTACAGGAGCATCTTGAATATTTAAAGATGCAAGCTGTTGCTGAATAGATGCTACTCTCTGATCACCAACTGTTTGGACGTAAAATTTTCCACCACCCAAGACTTCAGTAACCACAACCTGCAAATAAAACAAGACAATTCAACCACCATTTCAGGACACAACAGGACATTACCTAACCATCTATCTCTTAAGACATTATTTAACAACATCTCTTAAGCACCTTTAACACTTCTTTCTGTTTGCTGTCTGCTACAGCAGCTGAACCATTGGAAACTTCCTCTCCTTCAACATAGTTCTCCCAAATCTGAAAAGAGTAAAAAGCAAATATTTATAAGAGTCAATTTCCTGTGATATTTCAGTTTGCAAATTAACATAAAGAAAATATTCATATCCTAAAAGCAAGATCATAAAAAATAAGCCATGGATTATAGTTTCTTACTTTCAATTTCTGCCTCTTGGCAGATTGTTCTGCCTGTTCAAGAAGATGTGCTTCAGCAATCCTGTCAGTGCCAAATGAAGTCTGTAATCTTGCCAGGCCAGCTTCAAGCAGTGTCACAGCCATGTTGGTTTTTGACTCCCACAAGGATCCTAAAAAGGTTCCAGTCCTATCAACAGTTTCCACCTCTATCTGCATGAAAAATAAATATATAAATAATAAATAAATAAATAAATAAAAACTAAAATTATGATTACAGGTTTAGATAGAAAAAGCAATACCTCAACATCTCTCTGCATAATCTTTCGTCTCATTAGTGCCAAGGCTTCATCTGAATAGGGCTCACCACGGCCAGGACATCTGACACCAGAGAATGAAAAGGCAATGCTGCAAGTCTCCTTAGGGATCACCAACTTAAATCGATGACCGCTGAGGACATATTCCACAATGGCAGGAATCCTCCGGCTACGATGTAGGAACGGCAGGAAATCCCTAGCTTTCTTGGCTGATGACTAAAAAGAGGCAATAAGAGAAGAAAATTTAAATTAAATAAGCAGGATTACCATAGAAAGAAATGTGTCAAGACAGCAAACATTCTTCTAACCGTTGTAAGGTCTGTAATGTGTGATACTGGAGCCTGCTTGCCAGAATGTTGGCCTTTCTTTCCTGCCATCGCACGCGACTCAGCAGCCATAAGAGCATCATAATAGTTTGACCTTTCCTCAAAATCCCTATGTCTAACCACCTTGCCAAAACCCCGTGCAACAACCAGCTCAGCAACATTCACCCCAGCAGGCTGGCTACCAGCAGTGGATGGAACTGCTGGAGAAGATACATCCTCATCACCTTTCCCAGGTGACAGGAGGAAAACTGACCCAAAATCCATCACTCTTGAATCGACAGGGCCAGATGAACCAGCAGTTCCATCAGCCGCACTCACCTTCCTAGAATATTCCATTTGAACACTCACCTGAAAAATGAGTTGAGAAATTATAATTTTCCTCATCTATTACCAAAAATTATAATTTGAGGGTTTTATAGTCATCAAATTGACATTAAAAAACGAAATTCATACTTGTTGGCCAATAAGGCGTGTCCTAAGTAACTCTCTTGCTTCCCGGGCATAGGGTTCTGGCTTTCCATCATTTTCCCTATCCCTAAGTTTCGGACACCGAATACTAGAAAGATTAACTCGTCGCTCTGCTAAAGGACTGCCATATGGGACAGAATCATCAGCAACAATAATGCAGTCCCCACTAACAACCTCCACCACCTGGGAAGAAATCATAATGCTATTAAAAATGTGACAAAATGAAAAGATACACCTGAGCACAACTTCTACCAGCCATTACCTTCCCTGTGAAATTCTGATTATGAATTGCCTTTGAATTTGTAGGTAGAGGTACAAAGTTTGTCCACATCCTTAATCTGATTTTCTTTGCCTGTAGCTCTGCATTCTTCAGAAGCCGCTTGGCATCTTCTTCCATCATATTTGCACTCCAATCTAGATATTTAGCTAAACCCTACATATGGGGGAGGGGGGAGAGAGAGAGAGAGAGAGCTACTTAGAACCAAAGGTGAATGTAGCTACAAAATAGTAAGACAAAGGCCCCATTATGGATTAAAAAATAAGAAATTAGAGAGTAAGTTATATCCTCTAACAAAGTATCAAGGCAAAAGAGCAGAAAATCATCAGTTCCAGTTCAAACAGCATTAAGAAACTGGTCCAGCAGACTATGTAAACATAAGAAATATTTTTGAATTAATGGAAGTACAAATAATTATTTTGGAATATAGAATTTAAAAGAACTTTTATGTAGAAGAGACTCAAGATCAAAGAGTAGGTCAACTGAGAAAAGGGAAAAAATAATAAAAAGAGCAATCCTATGAGGAAAAGCATAGCAAAAAAGATTACAATAGATCAACAATTAGAATGTATATTCAGGAAATTGAGCACAAAGAATAAGCATACATTTTCCACAAGCTCTAGTGCCAGGTCTTTAGATGTTTCACCATCAGGATAATGTACTGAGCCAACCAAATTGTTGAATTTGTCAGCACCCTCCAGAACAATGCGGACCTATAAAATCAACCATGAATCTCAACCTTCCAAGGAAAACAGTGTTTTCATATTGCAAAATAACTTACAAAATGGTTCACTCACATCTCTGTTCAAAACACGGAATTCTGTAAAATGTTTGGCTTCAAGTGCGTATGGCTCAGGAGCAACTTCAGCACCAGCTCCGGTTGAGCCTGCAAGTCTCTGCGCAGATGTCAAGGGAGCTCGAGGTTCAGCTGACACAACATTGTCTTCATCAGCAGTAATTTCTTTTTCAGCAGCAGCTTCTAAAGTAGGCCTCCTACCCATTGATGGAGCCTAAATCAAACAGGAAATATGATAGTTATCTAGAGACAAACTAACATGAAGAGAAGAAAAGGGGATGGATACCAGCAAGAGTTTAGATTTTGCACCTGGATTCCAGCAACATAGACTTGGACAAACTGAAATTCTGGAAGTAAATACACCCGAACCGTACTGCCATCACGAACCTGCTCAACAATGGCTTCCAAGGTCTTACCCTTATTTGCATCTACAAGACCCTTGGCATCAAAGCTACTAGAATCACCAACAGAAGATGGAGGTAGTATCCTCTTAGAATTTTCAGCAGCACCTTTTTCCTACAAGGAGTTTTAAAAACATGAAATTGAGTTAGTCTATTTCATTCCGATGAGATTTCTTCTCTTCTGTATAACTTCCAGAACAGGTCACCAACAAAAAGAACAGAACAAAATCCAAAAGTTTTGGGAAATCAGGCTCTGCAGTAAAACAATAAAAAATAAAAATAAAATAAGAAGAAGAAAGGAGGAAAAAGTGCAAGAAAATTCATATAGGCTTTTAAAAGCTACAAGAAAAGCAGACCTCTGATCTTTGCTTTCAGAACTAACATTATAACTGGTGCACCCAAAGACTTCCAAGGAAGAACACATAAAATGATGAAATTTATAACGGGCAGAATATTAATTTAATTACCTGGCTCCACAAACCAAGACCTTTCTCTTTAGCTTCATCATGAAGACGTTTCAGTTCAGTAAGAAAAGGACTAGCTTCAGCTTTCTGCTGGCCAAGCTCCTTGACCTGTTTAAAGTACAAATCATTAGTTCTGATAAATCAATGAGAAGGAAAAGAAAAGCAACTTTAAGAATATAACAAACTGAAAAGGATATAACCTTTGCCCAGCCGTTAGAAACAACCTCCATTGCAACATTTTTATCACCAAGGAAAACAGAACCAAATTCCCTGCTTATACTAGGTACTGTGTACTCCACTTTGAAAGTGACTTCCTGAGTAAGGAAAAAAAAAAAAAAATTGATTAGTAGAAAGTTCTAATTCTAAAGATTAATATCTTCTATTCAAAAACAACCAGAATATTTCAAGATCAACACCTTTCCTATGCAGAGCTTCCTCAAATATTCCCTACTATCCCATGCAAATGCCTCATCCGAACCACCTCTGCGGGCCTGACAGAAGAAAGATTATCAGCCAGAAGCTTTGTCTATAATTCGATACATCAAAAAGAAACAAGAACACTCGAATTCAGAAGTGAAAACCAACAAATTTGACTAGGTAACTTCATTAATCTATGCTCATGCGAATTGCAAGGCTAAAGGGCTTACCAGTCTTGGAGCAATGAGAGATGACAGAGTGATTGTCTTTTCAGGTGGAGGTCCAGGCCTGTTGCTACTCATTGCCATTATCACCAAGCTGTCCCCCGATGGAACCGCTTTCACTCTCCCTCTTAACCATCCCGTGGCCCCAGCTGTTGATGATGCCATCTCAACAGCCAAGATCTAAATCCAAATCAATAAACAAATATTTTCAACATCATTAAACTCTACCATTTCATCCACTTAATTTTCAATATCTCAGATCTGTAACATCGGTTTTACAAAAACTCACAAACGACTCAGAATAATCACTCAATCGCGTATATCACCGCATACATTCACAAAATAGAATAGATTTTAATTCCAGAATCAATTTCAAATGCTCTGATCTACTTCCGATCGAAACTAGAAAATCCAGAACAGTGAAAAAATCAAAATAATTCGCAATGAATAACAGATTACTCAGTTCTTCCGAATCAAGATGCGAAAATGCATGCCAGTGATCTATAGAAACAAAACAGTAGAAAAAGGAGCTGATTCAGTTTTAGGCTTACCTGAATCAGCTAACGGGAACAGAGCCTTATCGGATCTACCGAATTCAGAAACAGAGATTGATTGAGCTCTGTCAGTAATCGGAGAACCGAGCAACAGAGTGAAGAGACTGAAGGAAGAAACGAGCGGCGGCGATCGGAGAAAGAGGCGAAGGAGTAGAAAAGGCTGCAGTTGGAGGTATATAAATGGAGAGCGGAGGAGAAAGGCGAGCTGTTTAACTAACCTCGATTTTGAACGAAATTACGGGATTACCTTAGAGAATAGAGATAGAATCCGGATTGAATCAAATTCGGAAAAATCAGATGTTTTGGATTGATTTGGAAAGATCCTATTAAGGATGGCGTTTTCCATTTTTACTTTCATTTTTTTCTTGGTTTGATAACGAGAGGTAAGTATTTTTTATTTTTACTCCGTCTCACACACCTATCATATATGATATGAATATAAAAAATTAAGTATCAGCTTATGTTATAAAAAATTAAAATTTATATATTTTAAAATTATATATTTTAATAAAATTATATTAAAAAAATTTAAAATATCTTAATTATTTTTAAAGTATAGACGAAAATGTTTTAATTTTTTTCATAATATTTTATTAAAATAACGTAATTTTAAAATATTTTTCATTAAATAATTTTTAAGTCTAGATGATAAATATTAATTTTTTTAATATTTATTATTAAATAAATTAAAATAATTTATAATTAAATATTTTTAAATATTATAATTATTTATTTTAAAAAATTATAAATAAATAAAATTATAAGTAAAATTGATAGTCTTGACAAAATTAATAGGAACCATAACCTCACTTGTTTTTAATCTAAATATTGTTATTGTGCACTTTAATTTTTTGAAAGAATAATATTAGGGCTGGTTATCTACCTAATAATTTTTTAAGGTATACTAATTTGTTCAATTTAATTGATACTTATATTTTTTTAATATGTAGTTAGTTATATTATCTAAAAATATTAGTTTATAAATTAATTAAAAATATCAATTTATAAATTAATTTTAAATTATTAA